GATTTGATGATTTTTATATGCAATATTTACATTTCTTACTGCATTCGTTGCTAAGCAAAAATATTAAACAAACAAAGAATGTTGATTTATTCTTATTTAGTGATGTGGTGTTTTTGGAATTTAATTGGGGTACTTTTTGATTGTTTTTAAAGTAGTTCTATTCTTGATAAAACAATACGATTGTATTTTAAATTCGTTAGCAATATTCAGTATAGTAGTAACGCCAAACTCCAACAACTTTTTATAATTATTATTGGCTTAAGATAATATGATTTGCATGTCAAGCTCGGAGCAAAAAAGGAGAATATATCGAACTTTTCTTGGATTTTCTCATATTCTTGGACAAAGGTTGAATTTGTAAGTAGAGTAATTAGTTTGGCCTAAGAAAATATAATAGTGTTGTATTTTAGAAGTTATAGTAAACTGTACGGAAGTGATCTTGATAGTTTCCAAGTTCTTCATTTTTTTCTTCTTGTGGTGACATTGGCGGGTTTCATGCTGCATCTGTTGGTTGGAAATGCCCAATATAGGACATAAGTAATACATTTACATATAATAACAACTAATTATGTTCATAAGGGAATCTAAATTATGAAGAGCAATCATCACATTATAATTTAACAAGAAAAATGCATCAAGCAAACAAGAAGACATGACCCAGAACCATTTTCGAGAAGACATTATGAATATAAAATTCACATTCAATCCTCCATGATCTTATTACAGCTTTCAACGACGACTTTGAGTGTAATAGCGTTTTCACAGATTAATAATATATAGAGTATAATTAGATTAAAATCTTCTATATAGTTTATTATATTCAATGACCTTGAAAGTAGCAGATACTTTCAATAACTCAGAACCAAAAGCTGATGTATTCACTTACATCATTAAAATGTGTCAGTTTGAACAATTCATGAATATATATATAAGTCAAACCATTTAGCTTCTCTCTCAATTAGACTTTTGAATCTCTGATTTCAGAGAGCTCAAAACTCATTAAGCCAAAGTCATGGCTCTTAATGTTGGAGCAGACGAGATTGAATCTTTGAGAGTGGAGCTTGCAGAGATTGGAAGAAGCATAAGATCATCGTTCCGGAGACACACTTCGAGTTTCAGAAGCAGTTCTTCAAGATATGAAACTGATCATGATGGTGATGCTAATGATAATGATGCAGAGTACGCTCTGCAATGGGCTGAGATCGAGAGATTACCAACTGTTAAACGAATGAGATCAACTCTCCTCGATGATGGCGATGAGTCCATGACCGAGAAAGGAAAAAGAGTCGTTGATGTCACGAAGCTTGGTGCCATGGAACGTCATCTGATGATTGAGAAACTCATCAGACACATTGAGAATGATAATCTCAAGTTGCTCAAGAAAATCAGAAGAAGAATAGACAGGTAGAAACACTTACCCCTTGTGTGAATTTCGATTCCATTAAATTTGGAACTTTTGAGCTTGACACTGTGTTGTGCAGAGTCGGGATGGAGTTACCGACCATAGAAGTGAGGTACGAGAGTTTAAATGTGGAGGCCGAGTGTGAGATTGTCGAAGGGAAGGCGCTTCCAACACTGTGGAACACTGCTAAACGCGTTCTCTCTGTGAGTATATACTCAACAATTTCTGTAAAATCACAAAGTTGTTATTGTCTTCAATCTGTGTTTGCTTCCAAAGCCTCTGTGTTGAGTTATATTGTATTTCTTTTCTCCAGCAACTGCTGAAGCTCACTGGTGCAAAAACACGCGAAGCCAAGATCAGCATTCTTAGTGATGTTAATGGCATAATAAAACCAGGAAGGTTAGTAGTTGAAGGAGTTACTGTATCTTCTCACCAGTCATGATCAAAGTATTTAAATGTGGTTATTCTTCTTGTCGTGCAGGTTAACACTGTTGCTTGGTCCTCCTGGATGCGGAAAAACAACTCTGTTAAAAGCATTGTCTGGAAATTTAGAAAACAATCTAAAGGTTCTAATGATGAAACCAGATAAATCATTTAAGCATTTTCTTTGGAAGACTATATTTTTGCCGCAGATGTGTCAAGTGTGTACCTTTTCTATTGTCTCCACAGTGTTCAGGTGAAATCTCTTACAATGGACACAGACTGGACGAGTTTGTTCCTCAGAAAACCTCGGCATATATAAGTCAATATGATCTGCACATAGCAGAGATGACAGTGAGGGAGACAGTTGACTTCTCAGCTCGTTGTCAGGGCGTTGGTAGCCGAACAGGTAGATTTTGTAAACCAATCAATGTCTCCCCCGAGTGCATTGAAATGAATGTAGCATTAACATCTTGTTTTTTTTCCTGCGGAAACAGATATTATGATGGAAGTCAGTAAAAGAGAAAAGGAAGCAGGAATTATTCCTGACACAGAAGTGGATGCCTACATGAAAGTACATTCCTATAACACTCTCTAATCCCTGAAATTTATACTGAACCTAACCGACTAGAAACCTTTTGTTTTTTCCTGTAGGCAATATCTGTCGAAGGACTTGAAAGAAGTCTGCAAACAGATTACATCTTGAAGGTATTACAGTCTCTTTGATAGATAGCGTGGCTGAACATTCTGGCCCTTCTAGTCCGGATTCTAATGTCTTCTGTTGCATTTGCAGATCCTCGGGCTTGACATTTGTGCAGAAACATTGATAGGAGATGTGATGAGACGAGGCATATCAGGGGGACAAAAGAAGCGTCTTACCACAGGTTAGTTTATACCTCAGATCCTGCAAAACTGTCATCTTTTGCTGACATGTTTTTTTTTTTTAATCTAAAACAGTACTTGAACCTCTGAATGTTTTGCAGCCGAGATGATCGTTGGTCCGACAAAGGCTCTGTTTATGGATGAAATAACAAACGGCTTAGACAGTTCCACGGCTTTTCAAATTGTCAAGTCTCTTCAGCAGCTGGCTCACATAACAAACGCTACTGTGCTAGTTTCGCTCCTTCAACCCGCCCCAGAATCTTTTGACCTCTTTGATGACATTATGCTGATGGCCAAGGGGAAAATCGTGTATCATGGACCACGCGGTGAGGTCTTGAACTTCTTTGAGGAATGTGGATTCCGATGCCCTGAAAGGAAAGGTGTTGCAGACTTTCTCCAGGAGGTAAAAGCAAAAGTTTTGTTCCCTAAGAACCTTTTTCATGTTTCTATATTATTGAGTTTTTGATCCTATCTTGTTCTGCTTTGAAGGTTATATCTAGGAAGGACCAAGTACAATACTGGTGCCACGAGGATTTACCTTATAGGTTTGTCTCGGTAGAAATGTTGTCGAAGAAATTCAAGGACTTGAGTATCGGGAAAAAGATTGAGGACACTCTGTCTAAGCCATATGATAGATCAAAAAGCCATAAGGATGCTCTTTCCTTCAGCGTGTACTCTCTTCCAAACAGAGAGCTGTTCGTAGCATGCATATCAAGAGAGTTTCTTCTCATGAAGAGAAACTATTTCGTCTATATTTTCAAGACATTTCAGGTACCTTATGAAGCTTCCACTCCATCGATTTCTCTCCTTTTGTCTTCTTTCGATTTTAAAAGTATTCCTGAGCTTTCTAGCTTTATGTGTGCAGCTTGTTATGGCCGCATTCATCACTATGACTGTGTTTATCCGAACACGGATGGGTATTGATATCATTCATGGAAATTCTTACATGAGTGCCCTCTTTTTCGCCCTCATTATACTTCTTGTTGACGGATTCCCAGAGTTGTCTATGACGGCTCAACGTCTAGCCGTGTTTTACAAGCAGAAGCAGTTGTGTTTCTATCCAGCATGGGCTTATGCAATCCCTGCAACAGTGTTGAAGGTTCCTCTCTCGTTCTTCGAATCTTTTGTTTGGACCGGCCTCACATACTATGTCATTGGATACACCCCTGAAGCCTCCAGGTGAGCTTTCCCCTCTGTTGCTTGCTTGGTACTCAAAACCCAAGGTTCACATTCAAGTCTGGGAATGTTCAGACAGTAGTAAAAATGTGAATTTTTTAATGCTCCAGGTTTTTCCGGCAGTTCATTCTACTGTTTCTTGTTCACTTCACCTCGATATCCATGTTCCGGAGTCTAGCGGCAATCTTCCAGACAGTAGTTGCTTCAATCACAGCTGGCAGTTTTGCTATACTAATCACATTTGTTTTTGCCGGTTTTGTCATTCCACCAAGTAAGATTTTGCCCCAATCCTCTGCTAAATCTTGACTCAAAAGTTGTACGATCCAAGCAAGACTAAGGTTATGTGTTTGCTGCAGCTTCTATGCCCACGTGGCTCAAGTGGGGTTTCTGGGTAAATCCTTTGAGTTACGGTGAGATTGGGCTATCGGTAAACGAGTTTCTTTCTCCAAGGTGGAATCAGGTGATTCTCTCTCTAGTCTCTTACCTTTATTTTCTCTCATAATCACACAAGCTTCTTCTTTCCGTGATATGCTCTTCAATACTAATCAGTTTGTTCTGGTTACACTTGTAGATGCAACCCACTAACCTTACCTTAGGTAGAACCATTCTCGAAACCCGTGGACTGAACTACGACGGTTATATGTATTGGGTATCATTATGTGCCTTGTTGGGTTTCATTGTGCTCTTCAACACCATTTTCACTCTGGCTCTAACTTTCTTGAAATGTAAGTTCCTCATCTACTACATAAATGCATGTTCTTTCAAAACACCACCGCCACATACTAAACATCATTTTACCAATTGACAGCACCCACATCATCTCGAGCCATGATTTCGCTAGACAAACTCTCTGAGCTGCAAGGAACAGAAGATACAACAGACGACTCTTTGGTCAAGAAAAAAGCCACAGATTCTCCTGTAAAGACAGAAGAAGATGAGAATTCAGGTCAAAAGTTTGTTGCCTCTCTTCCCACTTCTCTTAATTAATTCTCCAAAATTTCCTTGCACTAAACACTTTCTCCTAAACCACAGGCAAGATGGTCTTACCTTTCAAGCCTCTCACTGTAACATTTCAAGACTTGAACTATTTCGTTGACACTCCCGTGGTAAAGTTCTTCGCCCCTATCAAGTCAAGAACTACCATTCCATAACTATACACATCCGACTTATGCGAAACTCCATACCCCAAACTACGCATAAACCATATCACAAGACTTTCGCTTATATCTTTTGGTGTTCTAATGATGATCTTCAGGAGATGAGAGACCAAGGATATGCTCAGAAGAAGCTGCAACTTCTCTCAAACATCACAGGAGCTTTCCGTCCCGGAATTCTAACGGCGTTGATGGGAGTGAGTGGTGCCGGAAAAACCACCCTCCTCGACGTTCTAGCCGGAAGAAAAACCAGCGGATACATCGAAGGCGACATCAAAATCAGCGGTTTCCCCAAAATCCAAGAAACGTTCGCTAGAGTCTCAGGCTACTGCGAACAAACAGATATTCACTCACCAAACATCACCGTTGAAGAATCAGTGATTTACTCCGCTTGGCTTCGTCTAGCTCCTGAAATCGATTCCGCAACTAAAACCGTAAGCCTCTTTCCCTTCTTCAATTCCGTACACAAGAGAAACCAAAATCGACACTAAAATCAAATCTATATGCACAGAAATTCGTGAAGCAAGTTCTGGAGACGATCGAATTGGACGAAATCAAAGATGCATTGGTGGGAGTCGCCGGAGTTAGCGGATTATCGACGGAGCAGAGGAAACGACTAACGATTGCGGTGGAATTAGTGGCGAATCCGTCGATAATCTTCATGGATGAGCCAACGACGGGGCTTGACGCAAGAGCAGCCGCCATTGTTATGAGAGCTGTGAAGAACGTCGCTGATACTGGAAGAACAATTGTCTGCACTATTCATCAACCCAGTATCGACATTTTCGAAGCCTTCGACGAGGTAATTACGAATTCACCTCAAAACTTTACAAATATTTCACATTCGACCCCAAAACTCTTTAAATTATTATCTAACCACGTCTGAAATTAACACAAAATTTGAAATTTTGCAGTTGGTTCTTCTTAAAAGAGGTGGTCGAATGATCTACACAGGACCATTGGGTCAACATTCATGTCATATTATTGAGTATTTTGAGGTAAGTTTTGCTTATTGTTTTTCTTTGAATCTATCATTTTTTTAACCAAAAATATATTAAGAAAATTAGTTTTTGTTGTGTTGGTTTATAATAAACAGAGTGTTCCTGGAATTCCTAAGATAAGAAACAACCATAATCCAGCAACATGGATGCTTGATGTTAGTTCACAATCCGCAGAAGTCGAACTTGGTCTCGATTTCGCTAAAATATACCTCGAATCAGCTCTTTTCAAGTGAGTTTATGTACAAAATATATCAATCAGTAACCGTTTTGTGTTCTAAAAAAACCGGTCTAAGGAGAAATTTATGTGTGATTGTTATAGGAGCAACTCAGAGCTTGTGAAACAATTGAGCAACCCAGATTCAGGATCAAGTGATATACAGTTTAAAAGAACTTTTGCACAGAGTTGGTATGGACAATTCAAATCTATTCTATGGAAGATGTGTTTGTCTTATTGGAGAAGCCCTTCTTATAATCTAATGCGTATGATTCACACATTAGTCTCTTCTTTGATCTTCGGCGCACTCTTTTGGAAACAAGGCCAAAAAATGTAAGTAGTTACGATGAAATTTCAGCTTGGTGAT